CCTCGTGCCTTACCCCCGCAAGATCACCCTCATCAAGCAGCTGGCCAAGAGCGTGATCGTGGGCTGGGAGCCTCCGGCCGTGCCGCCCGGCTGGGGCCCGGTGGGCGGCTACACGGTGCTGGTGGACCAGCAGCCGCGCCTGAGCCTCCCGCTGGCCGGCAGGACCAAGGCGCTGATCGAGAAGCTGAGCGTGGCCGCCTGCACCCACCGCGTGTCCGTGCAGTGCGTGACCAGCCGGGGCAGCTCGGACCACCTGCGCTGCACGCTGCTCGTGGGCAAGGAGGTGGTGGTCGCCCCGTCCCAGCTGCGGGTGGACAACGTCACGCCCACCTCCGCGCGGCTCTCCTGGCTGCCCACCAACAGCAACTACAGCCACGTGGTGTTCCTGGACGGGCAGGAGCAGGGCGTGGCGCGGGCCGCCCGGTACCAGTACCAGCTGCTCAACCTCAGGCCCGGCACCGCCTACAAGGCCCGCGTGCTGGCCCGCCCCCACCAGGTGCCCTGGCAGCTGCCCCTGGAGCAGAGGGAGAAGAAGGAGGCCTTTGTCGAGTTCTCCACGCTGCCCGACGGTGAGCGGCCCCCCGGGCTCCGAGGGGAGCAAGGCGGTCGCCCGTGCAGGACGTGGGGGCGGGGGAGGCGGGCAGAGGGAGAGCTGCATGCAGCCACAGCATTCTGGGAAAGCCCCTAAGTCACCTGCGAGACACGGTGTGTGTGTGTGTGCGCATGTCTGTGCATGTGTGTGCGCGCATGTCTGTGTGCATGTCTCTGTGTGTGCATGTATGTGCATGCGTGTGCGCGTGTGCATGTGCGCGCGCGTGTGTGCATGTCTGTGCATGTGTGTGTGCATGTCTGTGTGTGTGCATGTATGTGCATGTGTGCGCGCGTGTGTGCATGTCTGTGCATGTGCGTGTGTGCATGTCTGTGCATGTGTGTGTGAGAGAGAGAGGGTGTCAGCAGTGGGGCCCAGGTCCCGAGGGGGTGGCGTCTGAGTGGGTCCCTGTGACCCCGTCATCTCCTCGGGGCTGGTCAGGCCCGTGGGCTCCAGGCGATGACTCTGTCCTCGCTCCCAGCGGGTGAGCTCCTGGACCACAGAGGGGCTGGTGTGTGAGGGAGACACACATGCACGCATACACACACGTGCACACACGTGCACAGACACACGCATGGAGGGAGGAGGGGCGAGGCAGGGCGCAGTCATGTGCCCATTGGCCAGGCCTGAGTCACGGGGGCCTGGGGACCCCCAGCAGCTCAGTCCAACCACAGCCTGAGGACCCAGCGCTGGTTCCCGCCGGGGCGGCTGGGGGGCGCCCTCCTCCATCTGCTCTCACACTCCCCTCGCCCGCCCGGCCCGGCCACTCCTTTTTCTTGTGCATGTTTGTTTGTTTGTTTATTTTAAACATATTTTTATTGATGTCAGAGAGGAAGGGAGAGGGAGAGAGAGAAACATCCATGTTGAGAGAGAATCATGGATCGGCGGCCTCCTGCACGCCCCCCACTGGGGATGAGCCCGAAACCCGGGCCTGTGCCCTGACCGGGAATCGAACCCTGAACTCCTGGTTCGCAGGTTGACGCTCAGCCCCTGAGCCCCGCCGGCCGGGCACATGTTTGTTTATTTTTATTAAAGTGGAGTTGACAGACGTCAGCACACGAGTTTCAGGCACAACACAGGGCTCCCTGGGACCCACCTGTGACCTGTCACCGCACGGAGCTGTGGCGACACGCCGACCGCGTTCTGTGATTCCTTACGTGATAGCGGGGCAGGTCTCTGGAGCGAGCGGCCTCCTTCCCGGGGGAGCCCCGCCCGGCACGTGCCTCTGCGTCTGTCCCCAGGTCCCCCGGCTGCCCCCCAAGACGTCACCGTCCAGGCGGGGGCCACCCCAGCCATCGCCCAGGGCTCCTGGAAGCCGCCCACCCTGAGCGCCACCGGGCTGTCCAACGGGGCCACCGTCACGGGCTACGGCGTGTACGCAAAGGGGCAGAGGGTGAGTCATGGGGGGGGCACCCCAGGACCGTGGGTGCCTGCTCCAGGGAGGGGTGACGGCCGAGTGTCCTTCCTCCCTCATCTGCTACCAGCATTTATTACACACCCGCCACCCCAGGGCCACCCCACGGCCACCCCACGGCCACCCCAAGGCTGCAGAGCACGAGGCCCCCCCACTTCTGTCCCACCCCTTCCCAGAATCCCCTGCCCGCCTCCCACTGCTCACGCTCCTGGTTCTCCTGCCCTGGGATTAAAAGTCCACCTGTTTTGTACCCAAAGCCACATGGTAAAATCAACAAAACCCACCTTGATGACACAAGGAAAATAAAAATCCCCACATCACCATTTTGTTCCTGGACCATTCCCAAGAGCATCTTCAGGGCACAGGCCCGGGTTGCGGGCTCGATCCCCAGTGGGGGCCGTGCAGGAGGCGGCCGATCCATGATTCTCTCTCGTCATGGATGTTTCTCTCTCCCTCTCCCTTCCTCTCTGACATCAATAAAAATATATTTTTTAAAAGTTCACCTGCCTTGAGTTCCCCAACATCAGGGCCCCCGATAGGTGACAGGCCTAGGAATCCCCCACAAACACATGGCCGGGCCTTGACTCCACAGGGCAGGTGGGGAAGCCAGTGGCCTCAGGCCCCTCCCCGTCCCCCTCCCCCTCTCCCTTCCTCTCCTCCTTCCCCTCCCCTCCCTCCTCCTGGGCCACGGGTCATGCAGCTGCCTTCTCCCTCTGCCCCGTCCCTGCGAGGGGCAGGGCTGACCACTCAGTGGACGGCAGTGTCTGGCTGCCTCCAGCGCCCATGTGCACGCGGTCCCTGCAGCCGGTGGCCCTGTCTCTGCTCCCCGGCCAGGCCGGCCCTGCCCTCCTGC